CAACACATTTCTCTGAATACTGCAAAAAGAACTATACAAAATCATAATTCAACTAAAAAGAACTATATTTCGGCACTTTAATGAAAAGGGTTTTATAAATAGAGGAGAGGGATTATATAAAGGGGAGTTGAGTAACTAGGAAGTGCAATGGGATACCTCAAGGTTGTTAAGAACCGTGCATACTTCAAGAAGTACCAGACCAAAATGAGAAGAAGAAGAGAGGGAAAGACTGATTACTATGCCCGCCGTAAAATGATCTTCCAAGACAAGGACAAATACAGAACCCCAAAGTACAGACTCATTGTTAGAATCACTAACAAGAACGTCATTGCTCAAGTTGCACACTCCGAGATTGTCGGTGATAAGATCATCTGTGCTGCTTATTCATATGAACTTGCCAAATACGGAATCACTCTTGGTTTGACTAACTATGCTGCCTGTTATGCTACTGGTCTCTTGATGGCTAGAAGACTTCTCCAGAAGCTTAACCTCGACAAGACTTTCGTAGGTGTCTCTGATGCCAAGAAGATTGGTGAGGACTTCACTCAAGAAGAAGTCAAGGAAAGAAGACCATTCAAATGCATTTTGGATGTCGGACTTGCTAGAACCACGACTGGTGCTAGAATCTTCGCTGTTATGAAGGGTATGTGTGACGGTGGAGTCTATGTCCCACACTCACCATCAAGATTCGTCGGTGCCGGTGAAAACGACAAGGCCCTCAGAGGAAGAATCCTCGGCGCTCACGTCGCTTCTTACATGAAACACTTGTCAGAGGAGAACGCTGATTTGTACAAGAAGCAATTCGGAAGATTCATTAAGGCTGGTATCTCCCCGGACAGCCTCGAAAAGATGTATCTCGAAGCTCACAAGAAGATCAGAGAGAATCCAGCTGCCGCTAAACACGACGCCAAGAAGGAGTACAAGAAGAGACCACAAAACAAGAAGTTGACTCTTGAACAAAGAAAGGCTAACATCCAAGCCAAGCTCGCCAAGATCGCTGAACAAGAAAAGAAGGAATAAATCCAGAGGTATTGTTGATTTTTAGGGTTTCTTTTATAACTGAGTGAGTCTCTCGTAGTTCGTCTTACTATCCCCGGTCCCTTTTTTAAGCCACTAAACTAGTAAGTATAATAAAATAACTATCATAGAATGGTTTAATGGTATGACTAAATATCTGGACTTTTTGATGGTGTGTTGTTTCTATTTGGGTGTACAAAAACTGGAAAAGACAGAGAAAGAGATGAGGGGTGTATTGTATATACTACTACTGGCCACTGTAGCACTCGCGTGTGACAACTGTGCGAAATGTGAGAATGAGAAGTGCATGAAGTGTAATGCGGGGTACATTCTTATTGGCGAGAAGTGTGTCGGTTTGTTCTTGTTAAACAAATCCAGTCAAACAATTTTCAATCAGTCTACAACACAATAGTATTCTCTTGTGTTGTGGATTGATCAATATAATTATAATATATTACTAGTTTCAATGATAGTAAGAGTTCATCAAAGAAATATTGAGAAATAGAAGGCAACAGTATCTTGAGTGATTGTGAAGAGTACAATACGGAGGGGTTTGGGTGCAAGAGATGTGTCGAAGGGTATACCCCAACGATAAGTGGGTTATGTTTCAAGTGTGAGCATGTCTTTGGACCAGACTGTTTGACGTGTAACCCCACGAGTTCTGAGACATGTACCAAATGTAGGGATGGTGCTATATTAACACGAGAAGGTGCATGTATCTTCTGTAACAAGTACTTCAGGCAGTGTTCTGAGTGTGATGGGAATGCCATGAGATGTACCAAATGTACGAATGGGAGAAAGCCCGACAATGGATTTTGTTAATCATTTTGTCCTCCTTTATTTTAGTTTGTGCTATCGCCTTGAACCCTTTCTAACAATCAAAATTTTAACAATCAAAAAACTTAAATGAGGGAGTACTTGAGAGAGTATTTCTCAAGAAGAGTTTTCAATCGATTTCTTGCGACTTGGGTTCTATAGACGCGAAGTGCTGTTAATCTCAATTTGTCTGACGTAATACGTTGTTGGACTCTCGAATGCTGTTTGGTATACTTTTCATAGAGATTTGCTCTCAGGATTTGTCCATCTAAGATTTGATTGTTGATCTTGTCGAAGCAAATCTGTGCGACATCAGGGTCTTTGAACTCAACATATATTTTCCCAGTACTTCGCCCTTTGCCATCTTCTATAACGGACAAGGACAACACCTCCCCAAACTGTGAAAAGTACTTCTTATAGTCCTGTTCGATCAAAACTTTTGGTAAGTTCTTCACAAAAACCACGCGATATTTCGTCTCAAAATCTTTCGCGTCGAGTTGTATAAAGTCCTCTTGTTTGAAATCCATCACTGCTTTATTAGTTTTTCCTTTAGGGTTTTATTCTTTCTCTTCTTTTCTAATACTTTTGGCCTCTTTTTGTATAACACCAATAGTTGTTTGTGTAACTATATCTTTAGTTCTTTTACTACTTAAAACTAGAAATAAAGGCATGCAATTTGACTTGGAAGAGGGAGTGAAGTATCTCAAAGATGTTCGACGAATTAACGACAATGTGTTACCAATTTTGTATGGCGACTTGTTTTATAGTAAAGTGAAACGGAGTGAGCCAATTGTAATCAAGAGTTTGCGGTGTTAAACAACTTCACATTGACAATAATAAATGACATCGAGTTTCATATGGAGACAAATGTGTTGGCGGACTTCTTGCATTCAAAGACAACACCAATTACATAATAGCAACATTATGCGTTTACACAAAGTATCAAGGGATGAAATGTGGGACTCTTTTACTCAACAGATTCATAGAGATAATTAAGACCAAAGACATTAAAGTAGTTCAAGTGCAAGTTCAAACTACTAATGAAACTGCTTTGACTCTTTATATGAAGCATGGCTTTATCCAAATCAAAGAAGTGCCCAAAGCATATCCTTCACTCAAATGCTCTTCTGCATATCTTCTTCAACTCAATCTATAACTTTATTATATTACTTTACTGATAGTTATTTTATTAAAACATGGGTAATGAATAAAATTTATAGTTTATTTATAGTTGATTAATAACCATTTTTTGATGGTTCTTTTATAATTGTATTGTAGTTTATTTTATAATTAATTTATAGTTAATTTAAATAGAGAATGAATTTCACTTCTTTTGAATTATAAAATAAACATGTTTTATCATTTTGTCGTGTTTTATATGAAAAATGAGGCAAAAATCAATAATGTATTACTTAACAACACTCTTCTTGTTAAGTGTTCCATTTATCTTTTAATTCATTTTTAATTCAAAAAACTAGAAAAGTATACTATGATTTTATTACTTGTGGTGATGGGAACATTTGCGATCGACGAGCAAAAGTATTGGGCGTCCCAAACTGAGAAGTTTTACCCGCAGGTGCACTACTCCCCGACAAAAGTTGGTTCTGTGTCGAAACCGACAGTGACAGAGAACCAAATGTTTTCACAAAAATTGCGGATGTTAGAGAAGTCGTCGCAACAAGAGATTGAGGAGCTGAAGGCTCAGAAGAAGGCAATTCGACAAAGAATTATTAAAGCGCGTAAACAGTATAATGATTGGGTACTCAACAAACAAAATGAGATGTTAAATGAATACAAAAAGGGGAGAGACGAGATAAAAGAACAAGACCAAAAGATTAAGGAGATGAAGTTGAAGGAGATGAAACGGCAGTTCGACCTTTGGAAGAGTCAATTTGAAGAGAAAAAGAGGGAGTTCTTGACTCGGTTTAAAGCAGAGTTCGACTCTATTAAAAACGAAAAGGAAGAGCGTACAAAGACTCTAAGTAAGATGATGAATGAAAGAGAGCAGATCAAAGACTTACTCAAAAACACACAACAGCCAGACTACGACTAACTTCGTCCATTTTAATATAGTTCTTTTTTAATAAAAATACCATACTCTAATAGTTTCCGACCTCTCTGTATAGTCTTCAAAGAGTTGATCATATCAAGACAATGCAACACGCAACGAGTGAATTAATTCAACTGAATCACTATAATTCTCTTTGTAGTGAATTCGATAGGGTAGTTAGTGTTGTTGAGATAAATGTCGTCCAAGTTGTTATAGACAAGAGAGAGCTTTCTTGAATAAGACCCACAGAGACTTGGCTTGAAAATGGCAAGACCGAAGTCTGAGTTACCAATCCAGCTCATCACTTCATCTTCTTCTCTCAAAAAGATCCCACACTTCACGTCCTCTTTGGCGAAGAATTGTTTTGGGCAGTTGATGTGGTTTTTGACTAAAGAGAACATGAAGTGTTCTTTGTCTTCACAATACTTCCCAACCGTGTTAATGCCGTTCTTAGTGTAATACCCAAAAACATTCTCTTCTTCGTCTGCGAAGATCACCGCAGCGTTTTTCTGATGGAGTAAAGCGGTGTTGAATGTAACGTTCTTCTCTCCGTCCTTCTGAGAGTCATACAACACTCGATGGCCTTTCAAGCCACTCCACTCTTGCAAAGGCTTCAAGTCAATGTTCAGTCCATTCACATCAATAACATGTTTCGATGACAATTTGAATGAATGGGTCAATGCATAGGTCTCTGGAAGAGGCATCTTCTTTGCTCTGAGTTCGTTGCGCTTCTCTATAAAGCATTCTTCTGGAAGAGTACCATCAACTTGATCAACCATACGCTCAACAACATAATTGAGGCACTCAGTGATCTGCAAAGAGTCTTCAAATTCGTTCTCAAGACACTTCTTGAGGTTCTGGAAAGCAAGTGCCATATCAGTCAGAGTCATTCGTACTTCTTTCATGTTAGCTTCTTTAGTATCTAAGACGTTCTTTATCTCAGAGTACATATCATTCAGTTCAGAAAAACTCTTCACATCCTCCTCATACTTCTTGAAGTTAAACTTCTCATTGATCGGCTTATAGATTTCTGGCTCAGCCTTTTCAAGTGCAGTGTCAAAGGCTTTCACTGCAGCGTTGTGTTCGGCGTAGATTGGTAATTTTGTGAACGCCTCCATTTGCTTTTTCAGTTTCAATTCTTGTTCACTTCATTTCAACTCTTTTTCAAACTTTTGAAAAACAGACTTTGGGAGATGAATAATTTCGTTGTGTTTTATGCTATTTATCGGGACGTTGTTTTTCTATTAAAAAAGAAAAAATTGACACAAAAATCGAATTAGTTTTGTGTTATTGTTTTTATTGATAAAATAATAGTTAAAAAATAGTTAATTATTAATATTAATATTATATTTAATATTATTATTAAATTATTATAAAACAATTCATATAGTAAAATATAATTATCAAAATAAGATATAAATATAAAAGATGTATAATAAAATTATAGCATTAAACTTATAATTTTCTAGTATAAGAAAATAATAAACTAATACCTTTAAAGAACCATACAACACTTATCACAAAATCACTGAAAAAAACCATTTGATGTCAAAGAAATTGGACTTCTTGAACATGGAAGGTCCGAAAGGATATGTAGCTGGTTCGTTGCGAGGGGATACTGGTTTTATTACACTCAATGATATTGGCCCTGCTCGTACATTTCTTCCGAATGAACCATTTGATTCTGCACCCGAAGAAGACTCTACGCAACAAGATATGGAAGCAGAAAAGATCTATTCGATGTTGGATGCCCGTCTTTCTTCACGACGAAAAGCTCGTCGCGAAGCACGCGAGAAACAAGAGAATGCAAAGTACGAGAAAACGCATCCCAAACTTCTTCAGCAATTCAGTGATTTAAAAGCTCCGATGAAAACGATTTCAATGGAAGAATGGAAGAGTATCCCCGACGTCGTTGGTCGAAAAAGACGAGGAGTTCAAGTGAATGAATTTCTCGAAGGGAGACACATGCCCGTCCCTGACAAAGTGTTAGTGTCCGAGTATTTAAAATCGACCCCTGTAGGTACCATTGTACCTGATGATGACGAGAAAGACAAATTTGAGACTCCTCTTAAAGCCTCAAGACTCTATCAAACTGATTTAAATGAAGAAGGGTCCGTGAGAACTAAAACTCTTCAAATCAAATTGGATGGGTCGAAGACTTCAGTGAGTAAAGTGAATGTGAATGGCTATCTTACGGAGCTTGGGACAACCCCTACAATGAACATGAATGACGCAGGAAATATTAAACAGTACAGAGAACTGTTTAAAGCGATGAGAAAGAACAATCCAAAGTCCTCGGCGGGGTGGGTGCAAGGTGCTCTTGTAGAAGAGAGTCTTGGACAGATCAGTCAAGCGCTTAAAATCATAATGGAAGGGACCATTGCTTGTAGTAAGTCTGAAGAAGTCTGGTTACATGCCATTAGATTGTCCCCAGACGATATGAAGGCGGACGTGTGTGCCCGAGGGATATCTATTCTTCCGAAGACTCCTGCGTTATGGCTCGAAGCGATAGAGCTGGAACGGAAAGATTCTGAAAAGAGGAAGATCAGTATCAAAGCCGTAGAAGTTGTTCCAAAGTCATTGAAATTGTGGGAGAAGGCAATTTCACTTGAAGAAGGGGAGAACAAACTGAACTTGATGAAACAAGCCGTCGAAGCCCTTCCTTCAAATGTCGAGCTGTGGATTATATACGCTGAAAATTCGACGTACGAGCAGTCGAAGAAGATCATGAATCAGTGTCTTAAAGTGTTACCCAAAGAGCCTCGAGTATGGATCTACTCCGCTGTGATTGAAGAAGTCAAAGGGAAGGATATAGACCGTTCAAATAAAGTGATTAAGAAGGGTATCAAGTACTTTGACCAACAGAAGATACAAATAGAGAATGAGGTGTGGATATCAAATGCTGAAAAAAGTCGCAAAGAAGCGCCCAACGTATTAAAGAGTGTAGTTGAGAGTTTATTAGAGAGGTATAGTGATGTAGCTGATGGCATTAAAAGTTCCCGCGAATGTATCAAATGTGAAGAAACAGAAGAATTAATGAATGAATTTTGGATACAACACAATGGAGGGAAGAGTGTGTTAGACGATGTATTAAGAACGAAAGGGAATGACGAAGACTATGTTTTACAGTTGATACAAAACATAGTAAACAAGCAAAAGGAAGACATCACGGAGTCGATGTGGAGTACTTTGATTGCCTGGGCCGAGACTAAAACAAACACCACGTACGACACTTTAATAGAACAAGCGCGCAAATCGAATGGGAGTGGGGGTGAGAGAGCAAATTTGAGTTTGATTCGCCGATTAAAGAAGAAACAATTGAAGGAACAAGCGCTTCAAATCATCGATGAAGCACTTAATACATCAAAAGGTCATTTGAGTATGAAAATTCTGAAGGAAGGGATTAAGATCTCTTCTGAACTCAATTTGTACGACAAGGAAGATAAATACTTGCATATTGGAGAAGTTTTGGACCCACAAGATGACTACATTTGGGAGCGTAAATTGATCCGAGAAGCGCGTGTTGGGAATGAAGCTTCTATCAGGAAATTATATCAAAGTGCAATGGACAACAAAGTACGTGGGACACGAGTGTGGGAGTGGGCGGGGTGTTTTGAAGAGCGTCGTGGGGATGTTGGGCGTGCGCGGCGAATATTTGAAGATGGTGTTTCGAACAACCGGATGTGTGCGGAGATGTGGTTGAGTCACATCTACTTTGAAGAGCGTGTGAACCCCAAAAAGGATGTCCAAAGTCTTCTATCGAATGCGTTAAAGAGTTGTAAAGAGAATGGAAAGATATGGCGAGAGATTATAGAGCGACAACCGTCGAACATGAAACAAGGGTACTGCAAAAGTGCACTCAAAGAATTTGAATCCAAAAGTAATGAAGGCGATTACTGCCAGGTAGTCTTAGCTGCGGGTGTTTTACTCTATCAAACTGGTAAAAAGGAACAAGCGAGAAAGTGGTTTGAAAAGACGGTGTTTCTTGATAAGAATTTTGGGGATGGGTGGGTTTGGTTATATAAAACCGTATTTGACTTAAACAGCATCAAGTTGAAAGGAACCAACGAACCACAAAGTGTGATAGAACGGTGTGTTATTGTAGGCAAGAAGTACGGGAAAGTGTGGAAACGATTGAAAGATAATACATTGAGTGATGAAGAGATCCTCAAGAAAGGTATTATTGAATTGAATTGATTGTTATTACTCTACTGTTTCACTTAAATTCATATATATATAGAGATTAGAGTCTATATATATCTTCAAACAACAATAATAATTACAATTGAATTGGAGAGTCATCTTCAATATGAGTGCCACTTTGTTGAGTGAGTTCGATGGTTGAATTTTCAGAATGCAGTTTTGAGTCCAATTCAGAGTAAGTGTCGGGTACTCGAGGAGGGAGGGGGTGTGTATCTACACTTGGTGGCGATAAAACAAAGATACCACACACATAAATGGTTATAGCACTTTGTGATACAGTGCCAACAAACAAAGAAACTACTAAATATTAATACTGAAAAGATCTCTTGAGAGCGAACAAACTATTGAAATTGGAATCGACTATAAGACCAATGACAGAAGATATAATGAATAACAAAGCCATTGAGAATAAGACCATTCCAAAATAGAAGTCTCTTCTTAAGTTCTTAGAGGCTTTATTCACAACGAAGAAGTAGACCAAATCAAGTAAAAACAATAAGACATATAACCCTACCGATAAAACCTCAAGCACCAAAAACAAATCAGCAATATGAAATTGTACTTGGAAGTCTGTTGTCAAGTCGACGTCTTTTGTTGCCGTTCGTGATACCCGTTGCATACACAAGATAGCTCCAACACACACTGATATGACTGTTTCAGTGATCGTCTTCCACCTTATAGTCTCCTATACATGAATAACACTCTATAATCAATACAATGAATGACAACAAACGCCGACTATACAGTCAAACAGTATGAATAAGTAGAGTAAAAAACAAGTGACATATATACAATAGACAAGATAGAAATAAAACGGAGCGATCACTGTTGGTACTAAATACTCAAACCCTAATGTGGGATTAATGCAGACTCCCGTGATAACTAACATCCCAAAAGTAAGTCTTTGGCTTAAATGCCACGATATAAATAAAGTTCCTCTTAACACGAACATGAAGACCATCGCCAAGAAACAAGAAATGATTCCAAAAGCTAGTCGTAAGTCACATTCACTGAGCGCACGCACCGCATCTGTGTACTGAACTTTGAATTGAAGAGACTTCACACTTTGTGTCAAGTTATTGAGTGTAAAATTGAAGATATAATAATCTCCATAGAGTGGGCGATATGTAAATAACCCAACATATCGCGTCCATCCTTTATGGTGTTTGTCCCACTTCTTAAATTCGTACATCTTATTCACTGTTTCAACTACATATGACATTTGTTCGGATTCATCATATTCATTGACGGTGAATTCCAAGTTAGCTTCGACTAAGTGTAAATACTTGATGTCTTAGATTTAAGTACTTATGAAATGAAACAAACAAGGCTCATAGATATCATAATCTGAACCATTTGTTACTTGAATACTTTCAGCACGAACAAACAGTCTCAACTCTTGATGAATCACTTGAAATGGTCCTATTTTGAGAGTTGGAAATGCTATTGTGTTGGGTCTGTTTTGTGCCACAATCGTTTGGTTATAAAACGCAAAGCTTTCTCGAGTTCGCGATGGAACCAATATAGAGATTGACATCGAAAAGATAGCAACAACAATAAGAAACACTAAAGTGCAGATCATAACACATGGGGTCATTTGGAAGAAGAACAGAGGATAAGTCGGTTTATCTTTATTGGTATTACTCATTTATTCTTTCAAGTTCATTTTTCTTCCTCTTCTTGTGTCTTTGAATTTGCTTTTTGCCCACTTCAATGAGTTTCTGTGAGTTTTTTTATTCTTTTATGTGTACAACTCTACTCTATGAATATTTATTTATTTGGGTTTGAATATGTCGTACATTTATTAGACCAATAAAGGTGTTTTTTTTTTCGTTTCATTGGTATAAATTATTTAAATTAATTAAATTCACTTCTTTTTCAAACCTTAATCTATAATTAATTGATTTTTTACTATATTGTATAGTTATACTTAGCTACCTCGATATAGAATTTATTTTGTATTCATTTTCAAAAAAAAGAACTTTATCTAGTTTTCTTGAATAATTACATTTATAGTATCAGTATGGTTTATTTATACTAATATTTAAATAATTAAAAATATTAAAAAGTATTGTATTCTTGACAGACAACGAACTATACTATTAATTATAAAATACAATACAAAGAACTAGAAAAATTACCAAGAAAAAAGCAGGGAGAAACCCTACCTTCCCGATACGGCAGTATATACGTCCGTAAAATACCATTATTAAGCGACTAACTCCAGAAGGAAAGTAGTTTGAAAAGAACTGAGAAAAGGGAACTAACCCTTGCAAGTGAGTCTTTATGGGAGGAGTCAGAACAAACACCATTAAGAGAGCTGCTCGCAACATGATTGAGAAGTACTACCCAATGTTGACCCTCGACTTCAACACAAACAAGCGTGTCGTCGACGAGTTTGCTGTCATCAGTACCAAGAAAATGAGAAACAAAATTGCCGGGTACATCACTCACTTGATGAAAAGAATTCAAAACGGGCCAGTCAGAGGCATCTCCTTCAAATTGCAAGAAGAAGAGAGAGAAAGAAGAGACAACTTCATCCCAGAAAAGTCTGAAGTTCAGACCGACAACCTCGTCACTGATGCTGTTACTCTTAAGATGCTTGAAGCCATCGGCATGCCAATGAACAAGAAAAACTAAATGAACCCTTTTTGATTTCTTCATTCCTTTCATTAGTGGAGTGCTATAACTCTTTATTCTATTTTTATAGTTAATTACAGATTCATTTCGTTTTAACTATAATTATTTAATAATTATCTAATAATTATAGTATATCTATTAATAGATTAGATACTGGTGTTAATGTCTAGTCAGTCGACAAGTATAATTAATTATAGTAAGTATATTATTTATTATAATTCAACTCAACTGATGTCAAATTTGTGAATTAGAAGACAAAAGGGATGGTAATACCCCTCTCATTGATTTCATTAAGAAGTGCTAGTGTCTTCATAACAGAAAGATACTCCTTACTAATCGGAGCAAGTTGCGGCTTTTCAAGTACATTCGAGAAAAATGCCCAGACACGCTTTCGAACACTTTGTTCACCCACTTTGTATAACATCTTAAATGTATGCATCAACGACTCCCTCACAACTTCCGTCTTGGAGTATGCAGTCATATAGACCAAATCACCTATTCCTCTTGATCCAATGATGCTCGATGCAAATTTCGTTCGTGTTGGACCAAAGGTCTTTAACTCTTCATTCACTATTTGGGTCTCTTTTTCGTCAGTTTCACCATCTTTTTCTTTGTCCTCCGTTACCTCCTTTGGTACACTCGATGGGACATATATGACACTTGTGGTCATTAAAGCCTCATACAATAAAATAGCTGGAACGGAGATATCAGAAACATCCGAACGTGCCCACTTCATTAGTCCACCAAAAATGGTCGAATTGTCGCTCACAAATTTCTGCCAGTTTGATGGTCTTTTTCGAGCAACTTTAGAGGCTTGTGTTAATGTTTCGATCATTTCTTTACGCTCACTCCCATCAAGAAGGGTCAATATCTTCTCATACCTCTTCTTGTCAGTAGCTTGGTGATACAAATGGGAACTACCAGACAACTCATAGAGTAACTCCTTTGAAACTACACCACGAGGAATGACTCCTTGTGTCTCAAGAACGATAATTTCCTCTAAAAGTCCTTTCCATTTTGCACCATCTAATAAGACCATCTTCTTTTCTTTATAATGAACTTGTAAATAGAACAACGTCTGTAACACGTCCACTGCTATTTCAACAGATTTCATCTCTTTCGACTTGTAGAGAGGTAGACTGTGACTACTTTGTGTTGTTATCACTTCGTTCTTCCCTTCTCCAATCGCCTTGATCTCTTCAGTCAAAACAGTGTGTAAGACGTCTTCGACACTTTTTGCCTCCAACTCGTTTGCAATCGACTTTCCTATGTAATGTGAAGGGTAGAGTAACACGCCTTTTTCAAAATTGGTTTCACCAAGTGTTTTTAATGTCTCTAAAAAGATTTGGTACTGCTTGGTGTCCGAACTCCTCACAAACGACTTCACCAATTCCACCGCATGGAGACCAACAAGGTGATTCTTAGAATACTCATTCATTTGACCAACTAAATACTTTGCCGTCGATTTGATGAGTTCTGGTGGAACTTGGCTCAAGTGTTTTGCTGTGAAACACACATAAATCAGTTGACACACTCTTAAGAACGTGTCTGCATCTTCCAGTAATGTTTGTGAGATCAAACAAGACACTATTCTTTTATTACAGTCCGCCATTGGGACCATCTCGAGCATCACATTGACTTGATTGTATTTCGCAAACACAAGTGGTGATGTCATTTCATTACAGAGTGCATTCAAAACGATGTTCCCATACTTCTTGCTCTTCACATAGTCCATGAACGTCTTGTTTAACCCACCAGCCACTTCCTTCAATTTGATTCGTTGTAACATCAATTTAGTTGCTTGGTACATAAAGGAGTCCCGTGACTCAACAGAGTCTTCAGAGAACTTCAGACATGTTTCCAGTAGATTATCAATACCTTTGATCGAGTCATTACTTGTGAACAGACTGGGGTACTTCTTAATAATCGCATTTGCCTTCAACAAGAAGACTGACAAGTGCTTATAACTATATTTCGAGTTCACTCCTTGCATTCTCTGTATTAAAGTCTCACTCATCATCTTGTTCAGTTCACTTTTCGAGCTTGTCAGGTACTTTATTATCTGCGTGATTTGTAAGTGAATGTATGCGTTCGTCGGGTCCAACACCATCTGTGTCATGTCTTGAAGAACTTCGTCCAAGAAAGTCTTTTCCTGTCGCGCGGAGTTGAGTTCAAAATACCTCAACAAGAACACCAGAGACGTTTTACAGATGTGGTGGACGGGCATGATCAGTGGCTGTTGTTCGTCTTTCTCTCGTAGTCCAATTTTCATTCGAATTTCATCATATCCGCTCGATATTTTTGAAACACCAAACGCTTCGACTTTTGAGGTATAAGGGAGATGTTCTGCATTCACACAATCAATCAATGTGAGTTCGATCAGTGGGTCTGTCTTGACCACTTCCTCGTCAGTCATAAAGACTGTAATGATATTCGAAGCTGTTGTCATCTGTACACGTCTTCTTCCTACCAAGACACTAATAGGTACAGTGTCTGATTTGAAGTGAAGTCTCACTGCTTTAATCAAGAAATTCTCATTCAAATTTGTCACAAAGAGTCGATTGTAAAAGACTTTCTTGTTCTTCACTAAGTTGAATGCATTGTCAGTCTCAAGTCGTGTCTCGATTGGGACTAATTGTGAAATGTCACCAGAAACTCCTTTAATACTGTCATCCTCAAGCTCCGGCTCTGGTATATAACTGATAGAAACAGCACCTTCATTAAAGATACCAACACTTAAATACCCAACTCGGGGCTCAACAGCAACACCTCCAAGCTTTTTATTCATTATTTTAGTCTTCTCCACTGTGTCTTTATTGAAACTGACACCAAACAAGTTGTGTGTGCTTTGCCCATAAACACAATAAAACGAATTTCTGCAGTTGAGCTTTCTCCAAGACGTGGCTTCAAAGTCTTTTAACACAAAATGTTTCGTCACCGAATTTGTCATCGAGTCAAATTTGCAGATGTAGCACTCGTTCTCATAAGTCAGTGCAATACTGTCAATATCACCCAAATACTCCATCCAAGTGATCACTTCGTGCTTCGAGAAGTTCAGTTTAATACTCTTTGTAATCATTTTGAAGCGTCCTTTTGTCAATGGACAGTCAATGACTTGGATATAGATGTCGCCAACTTGGTTGGACACAACAAGAATGTACTGCCGTTCCCCATACCAAAACACTGTTCCAGACATAATAATAGAGTCTATAGAATACTCTTCTGTATACACTTCTCCATCTTTGTACACACCAAATCGCACAAACTTGTGCGTGAAGACGACAAACTCATTCTTAGACGCTAACCACTCCACTCGGTGAATAAAAGCGTCCTCTTCGTCACTAACTATTTCAATCGACTTTTGCTCATTAAACAATAACAGAGCAACTGTTGTCTTCGTCGACACTAAAAGAAGCCCATCAAGTGTCGGATGCGCTTTAATCGAGTTGATGACATTCTCGGTAGGAACCAATTCAGTGCCACGGAGTATTCCCGTGTCTTCAACGACTCTGTACATTCTATTCTTGTTATCGTATGTAAAGAGATTCGTTTCATTGACAAATGCGTCATCAGTGTCTTCTTCTCGAGTGTTCATTTGTAGTTGTTCCTTCGTAAGCAACTCTCGCATCAAAAATTTGCCTTTGAAATCGCTCAATTGGACTTCTTGATTTGTGAAGAGTGGATTTGTATATTCAATTTCGTCCATTTGTGCCTTTGTTAATTGAATGGACATGTTTCTAAAGAACTCGAAGATCTCCTTCCCGAGCTGTGTATCCTTCATCAGTGTATTTTCAAACGATTTTGAAGTCGCTGCATCTAGCTTCACGGTACTCTTCTTACACGCAAAATCAATTTCATAGAGACGCTCCGTTTCTTCACTCACTTGTTTCATAAGTGCCACTTTCTGTCTTGGGTCATATTGTTGGACTGTTTTACAGCGACAATTAGTGCATTGACATACTTTCTCGACTATACCACAATATTCGTTCTCATTTGTATTATTGAAACAACACTTCTGACATGCCTCACATATATACATCTTCTCTCCTTTGTCATTCACTGTCATGTACATCCGCTGTGCAAAGTTCTTCTCTCCAAGGCAATTTTTCGAACACAATAAAGTCTGAGGAACAACTTCTGGCAATTGGTCATTCTCCATTTGGCTTCTTCCACTCTCTTTGATTTGACAAAACATGTTGTAGACCATATATAACAACTCACTGAATGCATTACACTCTTTCAACGTCTTAGTCTTCTCAATGGGAATGTTTTTAAACCATTTCGTGATACCTTCCACAAGAATTCCTCCTTCTTTCTGTTTAACAATATAACTAAAGATTAGAGTAAAGTATTTTTTGATATACTTCCCATAGTTCTCCACTACTAACGGCACAGACTCAACTAATTTCTGTAAAACATCTTTCTTCACATCAACATCACTCCCAACTACACTCTCAAGGAAATCAAAAAGCTCTTTCTCCTCCTTCTCACCACTTTCTATGAAGACGTTGTCCTTCTCAGTCCCTATAATCTTCTCCATACACCACTCCCCAAATTCGGGATTCTTCCATTCTTTAAGAACCTTTGAAAAGATCCGTTTCATCGAGTCGTCACCACTCATAGCCAATTGTAAGTACTCTTCTATCCGGCGAAGAACTGTCATATCACGCAACTTACCACCAACAAGTAAATACAATTTCAAATCACCTTGTGAAAACTGTGGGGTCTTTTGAAGGTAATAATCCACCTTTTTACTCTGCTTTTTGACCTCCGCAATCGCGTTTTTCATCACAGAAAGGCAGTCAAGCACACAATCTACAGTCCCTACACTCACTGTTTTTTGATTCAGAACAAATCTGAGGTATTCGTCGCATCGCGATATTTTCGACTGTGCAATCAACAACTCGGCCTTCTTGTCTCCTCCAATTTTAGTGGCCAACTCGACGGCACGCACTTTAGTATATCCGAACCCGATATCCGGTATAATTTGCAGTAAATTGTTCATCAATTTATTCGACTCAAAAGTGTGTTTAGCGTTCGATTGAATAGAAATGAGTGTAGACAACGACACGACACTTTTTACTATTTTCTGCGTTGAAGAGACTGTTGCGAAGTACGCGTGGTTAGTTGGTCTAATTGGGCATGACACTACAGAGTCCAATATATGTTGTAATGGGTGATAGAATTCATCCGACCACAAATATAACTTCGATCCCCACCGGTCGACAACAAAATTAACAGTTTCAGTCGTTAAGACCATTCCTTCAATGTATTTCTTAAGTGACTCTTTCTGTACACCTTCACAAAGTACAGCAATTATACCATCCCTCTTCCAATCAACTTCTTTCTTTCGAAAACGATCAATAATCATTCCTCTATCAAGATCTATAACACCACCAAGTTGATTCGTCTTCACTGCTTTCACGTAGTCTTCCAATAACCCCCCACACATGTCATAGAACTCTTCAAGATGCTTGAAAACAACATCACTAATACTTTCATATAACTTGTCGGGAGAATTCACAGGCTCAGCCCATTCCTCACGTTTCTTTAACACTTTCCTCTTCCTTCTCGCATCACTCGCAAGCACTTTATTCTCAAGAGATTCAGCAGAGGCATCACCATTTGCAGTGACTTTCGCGTCTTTTTTAATGAGAGATTTAAGTCCTTTTATACCATGCAAGATCCCTTCTTTTTTAATCGTTTTCTCCTCTTTTAAAACATTCTTTAAGTCTTGCTTTGCTTTCTCCTTCTCAGCTTTTTCTTCCTTTTTAGCACTCGTCTGGAGGTTCTTCGCTGCAGTCTCAAACTTCTTTTTGTCTTCTTCTGTTTGGGTCAGCTTCTCTCGAGCAAGTGCCTCAGTGTTATTCGCTTTTCTGAGAATCAACTCATGTCTGTATGTATCTAAGTACTTTCCATTCAATGACGCACATGTCAAAAAGTGCACAATCGTTTCTATAATAGCGTCGGTACGTCCTCCCACCTTCTCCTTTTCGCTTCGAATACGTTTCAAAATATCAATCAAATTCTCGACGTGGTCTTTCAACTTGATATTCGATATGTCTACCTCCTTATAAAACTTCGACTTCTGTTTGTTCGTTAAATAACACAAATTTGTCATCCAATTGACGTAATGTAATATTAGATTGCCAACAGGTAACGTTTTGAACAACTTTCGATCTTTGAATTGTTCAATGAACGCTTGTGGTGGTGGCAGTAAACACAGAATCATCCACAGCGAGTTAAAGAAGTATTCTCCAAGTATAAAAGTGATTGTTTCAAGTGATTTATCTGTTGGTTGTTGGACAGAGCAGTCTCTTAAGAGTCCCAAGAGTCTGTCGTACACTTTATTATAATCTGCAGTCTCTGTTAACATCACAACACTTCCCAGAGGGTAGTGCATTCCAAGTCTTAAATCAGTCAAGTAATTCTCATAAGTTGTATATTTAGTGAATCCATAGAATCGAATATACCCATTCATAGGAGGTACTTTGTTCTTCGTTTCCATCGCAACTGAAAAGAGCGCATCTTTATAATTCAACTTCTCGATGAAGGCTGGGATGATACACGTATCCTTCGTCATACTTCCATGTTCCTCAAAAGATCGACTTAAAAGTGCATTCTTCAACTCATTTAAAAGATCCACAGAGAAGTCGTTGTGGTATCGTAACATATAATCAAGTATAAGTAATGCACGAGTCAATCCAACTACTCCTTTCGTATTGATTTTGACTGGAGCGTTGAGTATGATTTTGAAGAGCTTTCTCATATATAGAATTCTCGAGTCTCGACTCAAATTGTGGAAGATAAATAACATCAAACAAACAGTTTCATATCCAACACACTCTTCTCCCTTCCACTCGTCTTTTGTACTTATCAAGTTCTGTAATGCGCTCAAGAACTTCTCCCATTCGTTAATAGCAAGGGGGTCATCTTTCCCTTGAATGGTTTGGTAATAGCCTATACGGTGTATCCACAGTCTTGCAGTGAACACAGCAAGTTCGACAGGCACAACCAATGTATATTCGTCTCTTCTTTTCTCCAACAAATACGTAATATTAGTGTCTGTAATCTTTCTGTTGTTCACAATTTGCTTCAACAAGACACGAAGGTTTGTGATCGATTCGGCGTCAGACACTAAAGGCCCAAATGGCTCATTACCATCACCATTTAGTGAGACATGTGGACTTTGAGCAATAATGATCGTCCATAACGCTTGTATATGCTCACGCTTGAAGTAATTTTTCACATACAAATTGAGTGCTTTACACGGGGAGTCGACGAAGATGTAGACTGCCAAGAAGAGGGGGACTATTCGTGTCATTTCAAAATCTACGGTACTGGAGTTGTACGTTTTCTCCTCGACGTCCGTTTCAAACTTGTGGATTCTCATCTTCTCCATTGCTTCCTCGTATCCAATCCCCACAAACGCAGTCAAAAGGAGTGAGAAAAGTGTGTTCAAAAACACGCCATTTGGACTCAAAATGAGTTCCGTAAGAAAATCAAATGTATTCACAGCGAAGACGTCTATTTTATGAGTGTAAACCTCTAACTGTAAATTCCCCTTCGCAAAGTTCTTGTAGTTATTTGGGTCGACGACAGTCTGTTTTTTACTCTGCAGTCTTGAAAAGATGTCTCTTGAGAACATGAAAGCGAGTGCCGTTGAGAACAGACAAGGCAACGGGACCTCCTTTTTGTCTTCTACGCACTTCACAATATAGTTCAAGTCGTGTTCGCTAGAGAACAACGACCCAAAGAGGCGTGCTGCTATATACGCCTCCATATTCACATACACAACTTGATTCCCAATCCGGTTTTTCAATATCCCCGACGCGCTAAATAAGCACTCACAGAGGTAATCGCAGTATGTGTGTAAATTCATAACAGCGCACAAGTGTTCGTGCATCGTCACTAACACATTTAATAAACTCACGACATCGCCTACACATGTTGGTTCGATCGTCTCGAAGTTACCGATGAACGTTAAAACACTTCGTACCAATCGGAGTGTTGTTGCGACTCTCTGCGCTTGTTGCACTTCATCGAATTTGTCTTCATTAGCATCGGTGTGTTCAAGTATCGATATACAATATTGCAGGAATGTCCCGACAGAGAGTAACTCCCAATTAAAGATCGTCTGATTCTTCTCGACTAATTTGTCAAATGTGGACATCGCCTTTTCCTCTTTCTCTTTCGCAGGTAAAGCATCAGAGTCTGCTACAGCACCGTGTAACATCGATCGCAACGAGTCGGAAGTGATTTGTGGATAAGCGTCAGGGATTCTTCCTTTCAAATTCGTTGGAATGGTTTCATGTAACACCCCCTCCACTGCTATCTCCATCTTCTTTGTTGTTTCTTGTGTGACTTCGAACACGGGATAACACAGATTTTCAGTCTCAGTAAACAATTTCAATACTTCGACATATGAAAAGTCCTCTGAGTATCCACACAAGATCGATACCGTGGTGTTAATTTGTTTGAAGATGATGTAATTGTTAATCCCATCCAAATAGTTCTCGGGGATGTCCTTGGATACAACTGAACTGACTATCTTATGAGAATACCTCAGAATCTCAGTTGTGATATGTTCGAGTTGTTGGTGATTGTTTTGGGGTTGTGTGAGTGTCCACGACAAATCAACGTGAGATAGTTGCCAAGCAATGAGCGGGAGAAATGGGACCAAAAACTCAAATTGTATTTTCGAGAGGTTTTGGGTGTCTTTAAGAACATTAACAAATACAGAAGTTAAGTCCATGTCGACAACAGAACTTAAAAAGTTGGGGTGTTGGACTCGTGAAATCAATTGATCAAAGAACTGACTTTGAAGGATCGAGTCGGACTTTAAAGCATCTCTCCTTCGTTGGATCTCTTTCCTCTTCGCTTCTTGTTGTTGAAGAAGCTCCTTCTTTTTCTGTCTAATGAATTCTTGTTTGTCCATTGTAATTTATCAGTTTCATCTACTTTTTCCACTCTTCAAAGTTTATTACTATTATTTTATGATTATTTTACAATAAACGTATAGTTCATTTTCACCACAGACAGTTTAAAAGTTTTTTCACATGTTTTTGTCATACCTTTTGCATTTTGAAGACCAAAAGTTATTCAACAATTTCAAGAAAAACAATTGATGGTTTTTAAATAGTAAATTTTTAATAAAAACTAAATTAAAGAATTGATTTAATTTATAACGAAATTTATAAATAAACTATTTAATACATATTTAGGAAATACTATTCAAATATTACTAAGACTTAGAATTATAAAAATTAAGGGGATGTGTAATAGTAATATATAGTAATATATAGTAATATATAGTAATATATAGTAATATATAGTAATATTTTTATATTAAAAATAATAATAAGTGTATGATGAATTAAGTCTCTTCTCGACACGATCAAACCGTTAGTTCTGTTTTCTCAGCTTGATCTTTGAACTCTTTTTCTTTGAGTGCTGCAGTTTGCTTTGCTGTGGACTTGTCCTTTTTATTTGCATTTTTGAGTTTACACATGATGCACTCGATTTGGTCTTCACTCTTTAAAGACATACACTCACTACAAACATAATGACCACATTTAAAAACATAGAAGTCGTCGCCAATATCACCCGCTTTGTTTGTGCACGTCTCAGTGAAATCAAGAACAACCCCCTTCTTATATTTCCTCAATTTTGAATTGACTTTCAAGTACTGTTCATTCAGTGCCATTTCCATGACTCTCGACAGCGCTTTCGACTTCAACTCAGCGACTCTGAGCCCCTCACAAATTGGTTGCGCGTATGTTTTCAAATCATTATTTTCAGGTAACGTGTCGACCAATCTATCCTTATAAGCTGATAAAGAGTATAAAAGAGTAACCGCCCACGGACATCTTGGGAAGTTCTTCTGGTCGACCAAATTTTTTGAAAATTCGAAGCTGAGTGAATTGACGACGTCCATCACACTTGCAATAGTATCATACGCTTCTCTTTTACTTTCATCTCCAATAGACAGAGTGTCTGTTTTCTCGTCCTTTTGATTTGTTTCCTTTTTCGCCGTCTTATTAGTCGTCTTCATGAATTGCTCGTATGATGTGAATTGACTTAATATATTGTTAATATGATCCACGACTACTTTCTTGTTTTTGTCACTATTTGTAGCGTCTAAAGGAGTGTTCCTATCACTATTTGCTGCATCTAATAAGAATCTTTCATACGTATCTGTTTCATTATATTTTGGTCGTACGGTGTCATCAAAGACAGAAAGACTTTCATTCTTTTCTCGCAGTAACTTAAAGAGCATTTGATATAATTTGTACTTTAAATTACTCTTAGGGTTTGTCGTAGTACTTGAATTAATAATTTCAACGACTAGAGGAGTCTCAAAGCCGGCTTTGTTCTTCACTCGTTTCACTAAATTAGTGATGTCGTAGCCGTCTGAAGTAAACACATTTTGAGTCTCTTGAACTAGTTGATCTTTGTCGACGACTGATTGCATTCTCTCGTCATAGATCTCTTGTAATCGCGTTAAAAAGATTTCAAGCAGTTCCGGACTCTTCAATTTGAAGACAAAGTCTTGTGCCTCTTTGAGTAACATGTTCTCCAATTTATATCGCAAATTGAACACTTCAAACACTCTTTTCTGTGTCTCTTCCTTTGTTTTAATTTTCATATATATCATCGCAATTTGTTCTTGAATGAAATTTGGCATCTTTGGGAATAACAGAAGTGTTCGATATTTATCTATTTCAGTGATTAAAAGACTCATCGTGTCATCTTTCGAGACTGCAGAGAAGTCAGACACTCCTTTCACTACTTGAATCGTTTCTTTGACAATGGAGTTGTTTAACACATTGAACGCCTGTTGATATGAAATGACGTTATCTTTATTCTTCTTAAAGTTCTTAAACGCCTCACAGAGTTCGTTATATCGGGTGTATATCTTAGAGACTTCATAGAGTGTATATCCGGTAAAGAAGTTAATAATAGTGTTCATGTTATCTAAATCCTTCACATACCGCTTCTTCTGCTCTTTCGATTCTTTCGAGTTCTTATCTTTAAATTCCTTCTTCGTCGTGTTATACTTCAAACACAATTCTGCAAAGTCCCCGACACTCATCATCCCATTGTCTAAATAAGTCTCCATGATTTGGTACCCGTCTTCAGAATTCTCAACTTGAACCAGCTTGTTCTTAAACCCTAATATGAAGTTCTCCCAAAACCCAGTCACGTCGACTTCCATATGAATTTTGGCGACTCGGTCTAAGATCAAATTGTACTGTTTGTCCTTAGTCCATCCGTCGATGATGTCGTTGTCGTTCAGTAAAGTGATTTTGATGAACGTCTTTTTAGTCAACAGCCAAATGCAGTCACTCTTCTCGTTGTATTCATTCTCGATGTCTTCGTCCTCTGAGACTATTTTGTCTCCACTCTCGTTTGTTCGTATTTTGTCCACTCTGTCTCCATACAGTTCAAATAACGTGGAAGAGATATCATCTTTCTTAATAGAAGGGTATGTCGGCACTTTATCTCTTTCATCGTTGCTCACCAAGTATCTTAACCCATATTTGGGGTCGACATTATTCTCACAATAGACATATCCGATCATTTTATCATTGACCATCCCAGTACTGTAGATGTCTGTGACGTTGTGTGGTAAGAAGAAAGTCGTTGGTGCTTCAAAAGTCTTTTCTCCATCATACGCAAATGAAGGACTCGCTTGGAACTCGCCTTTAATGAATCCCCAAGTGATGATCACCGTCTCCGAATTGACTTGTGTCACCGAACAAAGGGCTTGTGCGTCGATTTCTAATTTACCAAATTGGATGTTCGAGAACTTCTGTTTTGACAAGTCGAAGTAGACGATAGTGATATTCGTGTACTTCCCCTCAGCCCCACGAGTCGACAGAATCATTAGAATCGTTTTCCCAAACCACTTCAATTTGTTGAGGGTATTCCATTTCTCGCCACTACTATTTGGTATCACCTTATCTGAAAAAGTCCGGTCGAGTTGATTGTCTACCTTCAACGAATATTCCTTCGTCTTTTGGTTTCGTAAGACACAACAAAACTGTTTTAAGTCGGTCGGATTGTATGTCGCAGAAACAATTTGTCTCTCTCCAAACGTCTTCACTGCTCCTATCACTTTACTATTCACCAAATCCATTTTAAGGATCTTTTCTGGTTGAATCACCAAAGCAACTTCTTCATTGTACAGAGCAAAGCCGACAACAGGAACTTCATCAAAACAGGTGTCTGACTTATACCCTTCGTTCTTCGAAAACAAAAAGACGTGGCCAATACTCGACCCTATGAGTATTGTGTCTTCCATCACCATGTAGCTGTTAATGTATTCATTAATCCTATAAAGTCGACGGAAGTTGTTTGAAAAGTCCACTGTCCTAAATGGGTCGATTTCTTTCTTTGTTTCTCGGTCCGTTTTCACCTTTTCCTTCACACTCATTTTATTTCAAGTTTTTCAAGTTCTTTACTTGTGTATTATACTTCACTGATAAACAACATTTTTCCCTCTTTTTTATTACTCAACTTTTCTCTTTATTTAACACTTTATTTGTGTAAGATAATAATTCAATGAATGTAACTAATGTTATTGAATTGATGATATAAAGACCATCAGAATACATCATAAAGGAACTTGAACTTCAACAAAACAAAAAATTGTTACTTCGCAAACACGGTCTTGTGGTTAGCAGTGGCGTAGTTAAAACAGAAGGGGCATCCCCTAAGTGCAGGACCGAGACAAATGAATATATTTGTGACACTCATTTTATTCGTTTCTGCGTGTTGTGAGATCAAGAAGAAGAGCTCCGTCAACTCCTCCACAAACTCAGCAATGATTTTCGGTAGCTTTTTAAACACCAGTTTATATTTTTCCATCATCTCTTCATCAGTCATGTTGTTTTTTTCTACTCTTGAGTACTTCTGTATTTCATTTGGACGTATCGAAGACAGAGTTCAGTACATCAAATATATGAAAGAAACAAACGTTTTAACAACTCCAGAAATTCCTTATCGATTTCTGTTGGTAACACTTGGCCTGGTATTTCTCTGATATACTGTTTTAATACACTTCCCAATGAATAGATATCAATGTCATCGAAAAAGTCCGTTTCAAGACATTGCAAGCGTTCTTTAATGTTTTGTACAGTGTCTTGGTTCCCACATATTCTGAAAATGCCTTCGACGTTTGCTGCGTGTATTTTCAAATAGTCAATAAGTGCCTTAATCGGTAAGGGGATGTTGTTTGTGTTGTGCTCCTCGCCGTATTTCTCCAACTTGATACCGAAGAAATTAACTCGTGTTTTCTCGTCTTTTTCGCTCTTTTTCTCGTCTTTGCTCTTATCGCTTTTGTCCTCCTTCTTCTGGCCTTTCTCGTCTTTTTTGTCGTCTTTCTTCTCGTCTTTATCTTTTCGTGCAAACAACGACAACGTTTTGGTGTGTTTTTTAATATCGCTTGACTTTTTAATTTCAACGGGCTCTTTTTTCTGAATGGGTGGGGATGATGGAATAGACATCATTGATGACGACACAACAGAGTTCTTCGAATTGAGACTTGGCCGCGATTTAGTCGCATTGAATGTAATATCTACTTTGTCCAACCCTGTGATACCTCCCTCTTGGTTAATAACAGTCCGAGGTATAGACTCGACCCAAATTGTTAAATTTCGTAGTGCACTCACCCACTTCTCTCGAACTTCGTTACTTTGAAATTTGATTTTCTTGTCATTAGTGTTTAGTAAGTCATTACTAATAAGTAATTATTAATTGTTAACAATTGAAATGAATAGGTCGACCTATAAGAAGACAAACAGTCGTTTGATTGATTCTTAACGAACAATCGCTCTCCTTTTCTACAACAGGGTTGTACAAATAGAACACGTCCTTAGACTTCCCTGACGATGAACACACAACTAAGAAGTTTGACCGGAGGATCACTTTCTTAGTTTTGTACTTTGAGTTCTCGAAAGAGTATTCAACGGTATCAGTTAACCCCTCCTGAGTGATATAAGACACCACGATGTCATACATTCGTTGGAGTTTCTTCTCATTCATCTCCGCGAAGTATGAGTTCATCATCGATATCTTTTCTTCTAACATCTTTTTACTCTCCAAAAGTGTTTCCAATGTTATCTTTGCGTTCTGCGTTGCTAACTCCCCTTCAAACGTCCGTCGACAACTCTGCATGATCTCGCTCTTTTTCCCGTATTTGGTGTTGTACTTTGTCATTGCATTGTGGTGGCGTGCTTTAATCACAGCCTCCAAAGTCGTTGTCATTCGTTGCGATGGGCGTTTTGTCTTTTCGAGAAAAGAAATTAAGGTCTTTGTGTTTTGGTCAACTTGGACTTCTTTGTGATGGTCTTCGGGTGGAACTATTTCGATGAGTTCGTTCCTCAATTGTGTGGGTGTTTGATCAGACAATATTGTGATTAATTTGTCTGCGTTGTCAGGACTTTCTAAGCTTGAGGACTTACGATGGGTCGACTCTGTGGTCATCCTTTGTATTTTAGTTATTTGAGTTATTTTTTTCTAGTTTGTCACCCGATAAAGTCCTTTTTCAAGTTTCTCGTTCCGTTCTTTAACTGGTTTTGAAAGGTTGGATTGTAACTCATTTTGTCTCTATGTCTTCGGGTTATTGTATCTTGTTTTTTCTTATCTTTTTTTTTATTTCAGTCTTTTCGACAAAACTAAGCATTTCAAATGTTCATTGTATTTGTATGTTGTTATATTTTTTATTATACTATATAGTTTATAATTTAAAAAATGAAGTTATGGCTGTAGTTTCAAAAAGAGAATTTTTCAGACAACACAAATATATTTGTTTTTGAGCGAAAAGGGTAGATATTTATTTCGTCTTTTTTCAATAAAAGAAAATTTAACAATAAGTTAAAGAATAATTGAAACTAAAACAACAAAACTTGTCAATCTCAAGTGAGAATTCTGTTTGCAGAACGACAGACGATAAAAGGCGTGAGAAAGGACAAAAAACAAAGTCAGAAATAACATTCGAAATTGAAAGAAATTACAGGTGCGAGTCTTTTAGAGCTTGGATGACGGGATGCTTATCAGATATCAAGTCCGGAACGTCAGAAAGTGAGAGGCAAGGCAACAGAAAATTTTCTTTATAAACCATGACGATAGAATTCTTTTGGAGGTCATACGTCGCCTCACAATATTTAATGATAGAGAGTATAGTCTCGCCTATAGTAGTTTTGTAAGGAATACTCACACCAGTGTATAAATCAATTTCAATTTCGATGGACTTCTGGTCGTGCATCTTTTCTTGAAACTCCTCGGAAAATGAAAGACGAGCAAACTTCTTTGGGTCTTTAGTTTGTTCGGTCTTTGAAAGAGAGAGTGTAGGGATCATGGACATTCGCTTCCCGTGTCTAGCTGTACTTGACAGTCGCCCAGAATTCCCTACACCCGATTGCTTTGTTGAAACAAGTGACATCTTCAATTACTCAGTTCTTTACAGTTTTTTTTATTCTTGTGCTATTCTGAAAAAGTAATCAACTCATTAATCTCTATTGCCAGCTATTATTCAGAATTGTTTGATGTTTATTTTGGTATTTGTATTTCTTTTTTTTTAAACAAAAATTAATTTATATTTTATTATTATAATTTACCATTCCACAAAGTTTATATTGATTGAATGGTCTTTTTTTAAAAAAACATATAATTCAATTTACTATAAAATATTTACACTAAATTAAAGTACGAAAACTCTATTTTTATTTTTTGAATATTATTACATTTTTTAAGTATAGTTTAATATATTATTCAAAAACTAAATAATCGAATTTATTTTCTATATTTATATACTATTAAAAAAGAATATTCTTTTTTTGCTTTTTTTCCCGGTTTCACAAGCCGTTGAATCAAATTAAAAAACTAGGAAAATAACAATATTTTATTTTTATTTTCATTTAAAGTAATTGTTGCAATTGTACTTTAACATAAAAAACCCGAAATTGTAAATAAAAAATATTATTTTATAAATAAATTATTATAAATTTATTAAAAATAATTAAAAATATGAGAAGTTAATTTATTTTAGTATAGTTTTGTTTTTATTTTTTTTATCTAAAAGTCATATTAAAAAAAATTTATATTATTTTATTTCTTTTTAACTATAAAGAGTGTTAAAGTGATCGACCACTTTTATGTGGATGGCTTTGAAAATCTTACACATTTTTGTTGTAATTGATATAAAATTTGCCTAAGAGTTTACAAAAAAATGGATTTTTTGTACCCAATTCATAAAAACCCGATTTTTTTGAAAGTTAAAACAGAAAAAACAAATTATATTTTTAGTAAAAGTCATCTTTTACTTTTACCATTTAAATGAATTTGCCGCAAAAAAAAATATTTTTGTTTAAAATTTTAAGACTAAAGTTTTTTATTAATTAACGATAGTTTATTTAACTAATTGTTTAAACTATATTCAATCAAAAAAATTATTGAAATTGAATAATTTATAAAATAACATATAATTTGTCATAAAATACAATGGCATAGTTTACTGTGGATAGGTTGAAAAGGTGTGGATGGTAAATATAGATAGACAATTGTTATTATTACATGTTGTTCAAAATAAGTAACATGACTTGTATTTTTGAGTGGTTTTTGTTGGTATTTGCCGTATAGCAATATGTTATAAATTTGAGCAATTTACTATTGTTATATAATTTAATATTAAACTTTTGGTTAAAATGCGGTATTTTGCCATTTAACTTTTTTAAAAGTTTTTATAGTAAAAATATAATACCATTTAACCATGTTTATAGAATTTGTTTTAAACTATTATTAGTTTGAATCCAAAATCAAAACTAATATTTTAATACAATTTATTAATTCTAGTAGTTTTGAGTATAATAATATCACTATTAGTTTATTTATATTAAATATAATAATATAAAATAATAGTTAAAAGTTATTTCATTATAATAATGTATTTTGAAAATAATTTTTTGAAATATTTTTATATAAATTGTTTCATGATTTGTCATAAAAATCTAAGGCATAGTTTACTGTGGATAGGCTGAAAAGGTGTGGATAGTAAATATAGACAGACAATCTTGGTTTTTACATGTCAGATGTTATGAGTAACATGACTTGTATTTTTTGATGGTTTTTGTTGGTATTTGCCGTATGTTTCTATTTTAATTAATATGTGTTGTTATGATTTTTTAATAACATAAATAATAACTTATTGTTACAATGCGGTATTTTGCCATTTAACTTTTTAACTTTTTTATAGTAAAAATTAAATTTTATTTAACTATGTTAATAGAATTTGTTTTGTGATTATTCTGTCATTTTTATGTTCATTAATAATATACTATTGTAATATAATTTATTGTTATTAATTAATAGTTTAGTTTAGACATAAAACCTCAATGTTTAACATTTTCAACAAAACCTGAATATTATTTAGGATGTAAACCCCGTCTTTATACGTATAATTTGCGCAAACTAAAAGAACTTTATTTAACAAATTTCAATTTTCAAATATTATTATTAAAATAATAAACTAATGGAGTGTTTATATAAATTACAATACTATTAGTAAAAAGTGATCATTAAATGCATTTTTGAGCCACGATTAACGAAAAAATAATATAATTGTTAATTGATATTTAAATTAAATATTTTTTAATGCAAAAAACGGGAATTTTCCCAAATTATAATCACACAAATCACTTTTGAAATGTTTTTTCAATTAAAAAAATGAAAAAATAGTGTTACATATATCAAATAAACGGGATAATACACGTAAATTTTGTTAGTTATTTTATTTGTTCATTTTGATCTATTCTTATTTTACCACTTCAAAAAAGGCTGAAAATAGCGTTTTTTCTTACTATGAAATTATTGCAAATATTGGAAATACTCCTTATGGGGGTATTCATGTTTGTATATGATTTTAGTCCCATAAATGATTATAAGTAACAATTATTAATTTTAAAAATCATAACATATGGTTTATAACGGATATTTGTTTTTTTTTTGACAAAAAAATAAGAGGCTATCCACACAAAATAATCCAATCTGCAGGGATTCACCATTTCCGTGTGGATACGCCCTATCACGTTAACACTCTTAACAGGTTATATTTTTTGTGTTTTTTTTCTGTAATTTTATTTCACCATAATACCGTTTTTGCTTCAATCTATTTTTTGAATAATAAAAACTTAGCCTTACTATTTTTTATTTATATTAAACCATTACTTTGAAAGTATTACTATGATAATATTTTCATTTGATTTTATTAAGTAATAATGATATTAATGTAATTATATCATTTTATTGATAGTAAATAACGACTTTGTAAATACACCAAGGTTTTACTGTTTTTAAACAATAACGATAACGATGTTGTCCCGAAGATGATAGTTAGAGTAATAATTTTTTACTTTCGACGCGTTGTTTAAGAAACGATATTCACAATTATTTTTTTGTCAAATTGAATATGTTTGAAAAATATATTATATTTGAAAGAACATAGACAACGGTGTTTGTTTCGATAGTCTAATCGATCTTGTTATTTTGCTATTTTTTTATCACTAATTAATAATTAGTTTATTTTTTGAAAAAAAATATAGTTGTTTTTAAGAATTATATAGTTTTTTTTATTTTTCAAAATTATTTTCACCAACTCAGAATTTTTGTTCACATCTCAAAAATAATCAAATTAAATTTTAGATAGATTTTTAGTAAAAAAATGAAACAATCACACCAATAAGTTGAATAAAAACAACGGAACGTATTACGGAGAATTGAAAAAAACGCAAAACAGACAAGTCAGCAAACTATTATCTTTTCAATTCATTGAACTACAACAAACTGTGTTATAGAATGTATTAAAACAATAAGTAAACATGTTTGTTATATGTAATGTATATATTAATTTATATTTTCAATAACAATGACATTCAAGGTGGTTGAAATGTACTTGATAGTGAATCTGTTTTGGACACTCCAAGTACATCGCCTAATACTAAAAATTTTATCGGCTTGAAAATATATGTCTCGGGATTTCTGATGTTTCTATTGCGTAAATCCCGAAAAAATATAAAAATTATATCTTCGATATAATGTCTTATTTAAACTAGTTGTTATTTGTTAGTTGGTTTGAGTAATATCCTTGTGCAGAAAAATGTTAAGAAAAAATAAAACAGGCATGACAGTCTTTTTAAAAAGACCAAACGACCTAAAAAGAAAAAAATAACACTGCCTAATAAAAAAATTAACAGGGAAACAAGGAAG